TTAATAATAGAAAACATCTACAAACAATGAGATAAGACTACAGTGAATATACATTAATGAAAACTGAATTAACTGGTTATACACACAGCTGCAGCACTTGTGTCTGAAACATCCTCTTCCATGTTCCTCATAAATGGTTTGTAAACCTCAAGCCCCTCCGTCTGGGTCTGTCTCCCATGAGGAGACAGAGGGGCTGCTGCTCTGAGTCTGTTCTTCACCAGACTGTTCTTCCACAGGTCCAGCGAGCCGCACTGTCACTGTCCCAGAGGGAGGATCTGTAATCCTGATCTGTGCTGTGAGAAAGCCTCCCTCAGTCGGTCAGCAATTAGAGTGGACAGTCTTCAAGGGAGATGGTATCTCCTTTGTGGTGTCCAGACAGCAGGATGGACAAGTGAGTAAAGGCATTAATGATCCACAGCACAGATTCTCTCTGCTTGACGATTCCTCCCTCCGGATAACAAATATACAACCTGGAGACGCTGGCCAGTACAGGTGTAACTGGCAGCCTGCTGCGGTTCTACAGGTGACAGCAGGTGAGGATCTTGAACTTGTTTGTCCTTATTTAAGCCATAAATATGAACATTAATAACATTCATAACAAGAAAGGAGGATAAACAGGATCCGTTGCTTTAAAATAACAGCCATTCATAACGTACAGATCATTGCAACGAAACCTTTCTGGAGAGAGGAAATGCAGAAATAAATACGCAGTTAAGAAATAGGTGCACTCAATAACCAGGGAGGCGAGATCAGTCTGGCCGAGCAGCAGGAAAAGTTGTGTTGTGTTGCACGCTGGGGGAAGGGGGGGGTGTCAGGGAGGTGTCTAGTTTGCCCTGTGCTGCTCCTGAGCTCCAGGACATGTCTGTGGGGCTCTTCGACTCCAGAGGAATCCCCCAGGTAAACAGGAATTGCAGTTAATCAGTCAAGCCACCAACTAGAGACCCTGTCCATCTGCGATGTGATTTGTTTCGGAAGTGATGAGGGATTTCATTGTCTGTTGCTGTTTCACAGTGTTGCTACAAGTTGCTCCTTTCACCTGTGTGTTGTGATTCCAGGGGACTCCAAGATTACTGAAGCCCCCGGCACTGGGAGCCCCAGTCCAGGTACCGACACCCCGACTGTCTGCTGCTTCACTCCTCCTGCACACTGATTTCACCTGTCTGTCTCTCCCTCTCCTTCTCCCTGTGTCTCTCTCTCCTTCCCTGATGCTATTATTGACCTTCTCGGGTAAATCTGACAGACATGAGACAAGAGTTTTCATCTTTTCAGGGGACCCCAAGACGGCTGAAGCCCCCAGCACTGAGAGCCCCAGTCCAGGTACTGAAACCCCGACTGTCCCACTGACCATCAAAGACCTCTCTGCCCCTCCATGACCTCACTGGTCCTGCGGCTGATGGTCACCTCAGGGAACAGGGTGACCAGCTGGCTGGGG